TTACATACACCCCTCGTATGCGATCTCTCTCACACTCTCTCTCTCTCTCTCTCTCTCTCTCTCTCTCTCTCTCTCTCTCTCTCTTTCTCTCTCTCTCTCTCTCTCACACACACACACACACACACACACACACACACAAAACATACACAAACCCTGTATTCCTGGGAAGAGGAAAGAAGAGGGGATACTTGTAAGGTAAAGTATGCAATGTTAAAAGCAAATCCCTGACTGTCTTCTTCAGCTCCAAACTGTCAATATTCAGAAAAATATACATTTTCAATCCCAATCAAAATTTGAATCACAAAATCAGTAAAATAGTACAAGTGCCTTGTTAACAAACAACTTACATCATATTCCAAAGTTAGGAGCAAAACTAGGACCAGTACCTATATGATACTTAAATAATATGATTCTCTTTCCACAGTTTTTTCTGCACTCTTTACTACCAATTTAACCAAATTGTATTAATGTGTCTAGAAAATGATCTGCTGACTCAAATCACAGAAGGAAATAACAATGTGACACTCCAAAGCCAACCCAAGGGGATTTCAAATGAATTCCAATTTCTATATAATATTTACAAATTTGCCTCAGTAACAACTTTTGCTGTTTCCTTTACTACACACATACATATGCTCAAGAACTCATCTTAATATTCTCAATAATGACAAAGAATAAATGTCTATCCCAGCAATGTCCAATAGAAATTTCTGAAATGGTGAAAATTTTGTTTCTTTATGATAGCCACTAGCCTGAGCACGTGAAAGATGGCTACTTTAACTGAGAGCTAAAATTTTAATTCAAGTAGCCACATATGTCTAATGGCTACCACTCTGGATAGTGCAAGTCTAGATAATCTCCATAAAATACAGAATAGCTAATAAAATAATAAAAACTGAGAGTGTTTTTACTGAGTGTGAAGCAACTGCAACAGCATGGAAAGAATATACCATTTTACTTTAAGAACCTCTGGGCTGCAAACGAGGCCCTTATTTATGGGCAATAAGACACTAACAAAAATTACATAATCTTAGTTATACATACATCTCAACAGTTAAAATGTAGCTCCAAGTACCTGCTTTTGTGTGAAAAGGGGAATTTAATTTCTTTATATTCACAAGTAGTTATAAAATGAAAAGTACCACATACAATTATATAGGCTGAGTATCCCTTATTAAAAAAATGCTTGGGGCTAGATATTCTCAGATTTCTGAGTTTTTCAGATTTTGCAATATACACATAGCTTTATTTGTCTAGCATCTCTAATCCAAAATTCAAAATCTGAAATCTGAAATTTTTTGAAAACCATTACACACAAAAGATTTTGAATTTTTGGATAATGAATGCTCAATCTGTGTATCATTTCTGCAATTCATTTTGAGAAAGGAAATCATAGTTATAAGTCAATCACAAAGCTATTAATCTAAGTTTAGCCTCAACAGTCTGATTAAACACCAGAGGCAAGAGTCAAGTAGTGAATTTTCACATTATTGCCTCACTACTGCTTAAGTGTACATTTAAAAAATGGTATTCTCCCATGCAAGCTCAAGGATCCGAGTTCAATTCCCAGTGAAAAAAAAAAAAAAAAGTTTTCTGATTAGTCCAAAAGGTGACTTAATTATACATCCAGTCTTCATTTCTAAAGGGAAACTTTTAGCTTTTAAAAGCTAATAGATGTGAATGACGGGCCGGGTATTTAGCTCAGCTGTTCAATGGCCTACCTTGCAAGTGCAAGGACCTCAGTTCAATGCCCGGTACTAAAAAAAAAAAAAAAAAAGAGAGATGTGAATGAAAGGACTGGATGCCAAAAATCTGTCATCCATCCTTTTAAGGAGCAAGAGACAAAGTACTGGCCACTGAAGAAAATACTGTCAAAGCTTCTTCACTCCAAACAAACAAACAAAAACAAACAAAAAAAAATCAGTAAAGTAGCACTTTGCTGTCTGGCCACTGTTTATTGCTGTGGTGGAAGTATTTCTTGGTACACATGGCCCATGTCTACAGGAACATATAATAATAAAACTACCTTAAACAGTTACAGCATTTTAAACACAACCTGTTTTTCTGAAGATTCTATTTCATGTGAGTCTTGTAATAATAAGGAATAGCCTAAAACGCTAAGCTGAAAATTATGATCAAAATTAAACATATGCATATTATTATATAACATTTTCTCCATTTTTTATAATGGGGATAATTTATGCTTTGCTTTTTTTTTTCCTTTTGATTTGCTAAAGAAAAACAAAATAAAAAGTTTCTAGCAACTCAAGTTAAGTAGTGTTCAATTTGGTAGCAATGTTTCAAAAACAAAGAAAATAAACTGTTAGATCCAAAATTCATTCAGATATGGCATACATATATCCTTTTAACTCTGATTGACAAAGCATTAAAATTAATCCAAGGATAAATAGTATAAATTATCTGGCCACTGCATATGGGTATCTAAAAAATCAGTTTTCTGAATTTTTAAAATTAAATTACAAGTTTTTTTATTACTAGTGAGAGTACTGATGTCCACATAGATTTTAAAATTAAATTTTAGTGAATAAATGTACCCCACATACATCCTTTTACTTCAAAGGATAGTCTTATTCTATATCTTATTACCATTTTTTTCTTTTCTCACTTGGGATCAGCTTCTAATCTTCCTAGTCTCTGAACTGTGTACTCTCAAATTAAAACTCCTATAACAATTTTTTTGGTTAAGAAGCATTCAACTTGTTTTAGATTACCATCATTTTAAATTTGTGAAACAAGTGATAACTACATATGATGAGGATGCTAAAGGATATAAATTTACTAAGGAAAATAAACAACATACAGAAATCCTGACTAAAACAATCTTAATGAAAACTTAAATTGATACATTAAATAAAATCATGTTTAGTTTAAATTAAGGTTAATGATTTATCAGCACATCATTTTAAATTTCACTTTAAAAATTAGCCCAGTAATGAACTGTACATCAAAAATAATAAATTTCACTCTGTAAATTTTCAAATAACCTTTAACACTCTCTTAAGAACAAATCTTTATTACAAAGAGATGCATTTTTTTCTTTTGGAGTGTGAACGTGTGTGTGTATGATACTGGTGTTTAAATGCAAGGCCCTACACTGAGCTACAACCCAAATCGTTTTTAATTTTTTAAAAAAAATAGGGTCTAAATTTTAAAATTGCCCATATTAGGCTCAAACTTGTGATCTTTCTGACTCAACATCCTGGGATTATGAGTACCCACCACTACATCTAACTTATGCATACAGGACATAAGAAATTTATTACCAAAAACCCAGGTACTTAGGATACCTTTCCACAATAAGTTACCTTTATTGTTATTTAAATAAGCATAATTAGAGTTCAAAATTAAGCTATGTGATCAATTACTTTCCTTATGCTTTCTGTTTTTCAAAATACATTTCAGAAAATAAACATTTAACTTGTCTACACAGAAATATTTACTGATATCTTACAAATTTCTATGAAGGCTCAGGAAGTCTCATTTACGGGAATCTTCATTTTCTACATCTAGATATACTATGATGAATATAGGAATAAATGGCTACTTAGCATAAAAGAACAGGTGCTTATTAATTATCACTGACATTAAATCTGGAAATTAAAGAGGCACTAAAAAGTTGAAAGAGGCATTAAGATCAAACAGGGGACATATGACCCAATTACTTCAGGAAAATAAAGTCCTATTTATCCATTTCTACAGAGAATAAACTCTATGATAACTCCTTAATTCAACATGAGATTCAAATTCATTCAATTGCAGTAATTGGCAAAATATAGAAAGCTGAATTGAAGCGAAAGTGTCAACAATATCTTATAAACTGTAGTCTGCTTATTAAAGATCAATTGCACTGTGTTATCACCTTCATGAGGTTAAAATTCCAATGGTCTCACTGGACCTAACTGCTGAAACCACAGACTGATTTTAAATTTTGGTACTCTTATCCCCTTCAAGATTAGCAAAGTTTTTATTATGCATTACACTATTACTTGACTATAAATGGTTTACACTCTAAACATCAAACATTTGGGGAGAAAAAAGTCATAAAATAAAGCAGAATTACCTGTTCTTACTATTGTGTACACACTCTGTAAGCTAGGCTGGCATTTAAAATTTTACAAACTATTTGGTAAGAAAATAGTTGACAAACCTGAAAGAATAGCTTCTTTCAAATAGAGTAACATTTGGGAGAACTTCCTGGTATCATTCAACAATTCCTTGAAGCAATCTGGGTCAGAAATGGAACTGGAACTCACAGGCCTGAGCCCCATATCAGAAGTTGTAACATCAGTAGGGAGCTGGCCTGATGTCCCAATACGTTTTTTCTTTGTCTTTTTCTGTTTGTGAGCAATCATCCTCTCATTTAATAGTCAGAAAAACTGAAATCCTTAAGGGGCAAGAAACAAAAACAAAAACAAAAAAGGAGAGAAACACAAATACTACATCAGCCAGGGAAACATACTAGCCCATAGCCCACCTTAGTATTCTATTTTTAGATTTTTAAAAATAAGTGCATACATATATACCTACATACACTATACTACTACTGATAATAGCAACATCCATTTATAAAGTGTCAGTTATCCTGACAAATCTGATGGTGAGAAGCTTGAGGTCTATATTTAAAAAGTTTGTCACATTCTCAACTGATAAATAATGCAGTTGGAGTTAAACCTGTGTCTGTCTGGACATCAAAATCCATGCTCTTAATAATGTCCTCTTAATTCTTATCATATAGAATTTTTTAATTGTAAGGATTGTTCTAAAAAATTATAGTAATAGTATCTTTAACAATAAAGGTGAAGGCCAGGCATGGTGGTGCATGCATATACCCACAACACTCTGAGAGTTTGAAGCAGAAGTGAAGTTAAAATCAGTCAGGGAAATTTAGCAACTCAGCAAGACTCTAACTCAACAACAACAACAACAGACTGGGGACATAGTTTAGCACTCATTTATAAAGTGAGGAAAACATTCTGTTGATACACCTACCTCAGATTATTGTGAGTTAAAGAAACAATAGTATACGGCACTGTCCATTCATCACATAAAAGTTCAATTACATTTACTTTTCCGCTAATCTGACATATCCTGATTGAATAACTAAATGTGTTTATCAGAATAACAGTTTTGGTATTTCAGAATAGTACAGTAAAGGTAATGCTTTGGTATATGAAAAACTTAGATTTGAAATCCTAGTTCTAATAATTTCCAGATGTGTGACCAACATGATTCACTTATAGGCCATGTGAGGTTCAAAAGGGATTTCAAAATTAAGATTCTTTTTATCCTTAAAACATCTAATCCTGCTCATCAAAATTTAAGAGAATCTTAGTTTGTTTTCTTCATCTTCATTTTACCTTTCCAGAATTAAAAGTCCTAAGTTTATTTGTATTTCTTGAAATCAAAAGGAAATAATTAGAATTAAATTAGTATTATCATTAAAATATTATCATTAAAAGTGTTTTCAGTTTGTCTTGAATATCTGGATACTTTTAAAATTGAGGGAATGACTAAGAACTTCTGTGAAAGTCACAGTAGAAAGTTTAATGTAATATCTTCCAAATCTGAAAACTATTATTGGATCATTTACTCATGTACCTTACTCAACTCCAGGTTTTTCTTCCTGATTATACTTCTCTAATCTATCCACTATTTTGTCCTATTCCCATACTAGTGAATTACCATCGCTTATTGTCTAAACTACTGTACTAATTTCCTAATGATCTCTCCACATCCAGTTTGTCCCTTTACAAAAATGTAGCGAGCAAACTTTCAAACAAAAACCCCATGATGTGATTTCTCTGCTCAAAATAATTCCAAAGGACAAGAGAAAAGATGTCAGACTCTGTAAGCCTCCAGGTGAGATCTGACTCCTATCTGACTCTGTAATGTAATCTGGAATCACATTCCTGCCACACACACACACACACACACACATCTCCTCTTCATTCTTCTAACAATAATTTGTTTACTGTAATCCATACCATGAAATAATTGTACATCATGACCAAGACACACATTAAGTATGTTTGTGTATGCTGTAAGAAGACCCTTAAGCTGGCTTCCAACTTGCTATGTTAGCCTCCTGAAGTAGCTGGGATTGTAGGGATGTGCCACTGCCACGGCAACCAGATCTTCCTTCATTTTTTTTAAAGGCTGGTTCCAACTCACTAAAGTGATTTTATATATAATGCTATAGTGTTAAAACACTGATCATTCAGCTCAGGGTCCAATCTATATGTAATTCTACTTCACTGGACCACTCATGACCCCTTTGTTTACCCACTCTGAGCTTTGCTAACATGTATGAGTCCCACTCCTCTACAACTACCACCACCAAACCACAGCAGAATTTCAAAAGGTATTTTGCCTGGGCTGCTCTGAGTGAAGAGGAATCATCTTAGGCTGCTCACAAAATATATAATATTGTTAATGTAAATGACAAAACTTTATTTTTAAATAGTTTTCATTTTAACATTAAAATTAAGAGGGCAAGTGTGCTGTGAGCCACAAGCTGGACATACTTGCTGGCATCCTACACTTTTCATTACTGCATCTATCACAGTTCAAGTATATGATCTGTCTTCTCATCTGCACTACAATCTTCAGGAAATTAAGACCACACCATGTCTGTTTGCTAACTATGTGTTTTTAGTTCACTGCACAGTACTTAGGACATAAGACATGAAAAAAATGAATAATGGAGAGATGGACTTCAGAATGAATAATGAATGTTCAGAAAGAATATGAACTTATAAATGTTTTTGTTTCTATTAAAAAACTTGTTGAAATACTTTGAAGTGATCATCAAGAAATAACAATATGCTGGCGTTAAAAATAACAAATGCTGATGAAACTGGGGGGAAAGAGGACCCTTGTACATTGCTGGTGAAAATGTAAACTAGTAAAACTACTACAGAAATAGTAGTATGGCAATTCATTAAAAAACTTAAAAGTAGAAACTCCATTCAAGCTATTATCCTTTTAGATATCTTCCTGAAAGAATTAAAGACATCATATTACGATACATGCATATCCATGTTTATAGCAGCACAATTCATAATAGCTAAATTGAAGAAGCAGCCTATATGTCCATCAACAGATGAATGGGTAAAAAAGGTGTAGTATTTACACACAATGTAGTACTACTCTGCCATAAAGAAGAGAATTTGAGTCACTGGTAGGAAAATGAATGTACCTCTAGACCATAACATTAAATGAAATAAATCTGACACACAAGCTTTAAAATCATGGTTTTAAAAATCAATAGCTTTTAAATTTCTGAAACTTTTTACAACTTATTTACTAAATTTACAAGTCAGAAATAGAATGATTTTATTAAATAAACTGCAAAAGTGTTAAAAGTTTGATAACAGTCAGTGATTTGTAAGAGGGCTTTAAGTGTTTTTTATTTGTTAGGGGAGGGAAGTGAGAATCTAAAAAGGATTACAGTCTAATTCTAGTTAGCATTATGATTAATGTGGTAATTTTGTCTTTATCATTTTCACATTTTAACTGAAAAAAGAAACACTGCAGTTAAAATGTTTAGAATAACAAATGTAATGGAAGCTTCCATTGTACTATAACAATGAGAAAGTATGGAATACATATACGACCTTTTCCATGTGCCAAAACCAATATTCTATCGAGTTAGTGGTAACAAAATGGTTAATAACTGATCACAAATGGCAACTTAATTAGATAGTAATGCATGGAAAATACTCAGTAGTGTCTATCTCGTCATAAAAACTTAGCAACTGTTAGCCATTGCTACTAGCATAACTGGCTTGTTGTGGGAAATTGTTTTTGAACATAAGTAATAAACAAGCCCTGGCTTCAATACATCTGTAGATTGTGAGCAAAAAAATATGACTGGAAACAATTCCAGAAACTCAACTGAATTCATGGAAACCTACTAAAAGGTTTCCAAGTGAAGTTTGAACTTTGCAAACAGATCGTTGAGCCAAATATTTGTGAAACTCTCTTAATTTTTATAACATCTCCAAATGCAAACCATGGAGATTAAAAATGTGTATTATCTATTTATCAAAGAATTCTATAACCCAAAAGAAAATCATCACATAAAACTACTTTGTCTTCTATATTCTAAGTAATATATGCATTAGAAACATGGACACAGGGCTGAGGATGTTAGCTCAGTGGTACCATGTGCTGTGCCCTGGTTTAGGGGAGGAGAAACAGAAAAATGTGTACTAACTTTCCTAGTCTCCCAGAAAGGGAGCTTTTCCAAGATTTCAGTAGCCTGTGTCAAATGTTCCTTCTTGTCCCAGGCACATACAACCCAAAACGTACATTATATAAGTATTTTTCATTTTAGGGATTGGGCTAACTAAAGTGTAATACTGCCCCCAAATATCTGTACTTAATGGTTTCCATCTTACTATTTCTGATTTGGTAAGAAGTGAAAAGATGCCAAAAGAAAAAATAAGAAAAGTTAAATTTGAAGGTCTTTAATTATATTTTTAAGTACCACTCCAAACAGAACAGGGATGTCAGAAAGTTTTATCAATAATATGCAAACAATTTCTAAAGGAAGGCGTGCAATACATACACTTCATTCCTGTGCAGTGCGAATCCAGCACGCTTTAAAAGAGGAAGCTGCCCAGCCTCCCACGCCTCCAGAATGTCTAGCATTCCTGGCAGGCTGCGCGCTAGCCTCTGGCCAGCCAAAAGCACCCAATGCCAAAATGCACGTTCCCTCATGTGGGACTTAAATACAGAGGGAAGAACATAGCAACCAAAACAGAACAGCTGAAGTTGATAACGAGATAAAGTCAAGGAAATACACTGAGAAAGGGGAATGAGGGCTCCACTTCTTCCTTTTTCCAAGTTAACATCCTGCCACCAGAAAAGGTAGGAGGCATATTCCCCCTTGAGGAAGAGTTTAAAAAGATAACAATAAGACACGAGGTTCACCACTTGGATTCCGCCTTGAAACGCCTGAGTTGCTATTACCCGTTCAATTAAAAAAGTTTTTCGTTTAATTAAAACCATTAACCCCAAGACCAAACTGCTGAGGCCGAGAATCCCTCAAACAAAACACCCCTCTTAAACGCAAGACTGTTAAGAAAACAGGACGAAAACCCGAAAACACCTCGATGAAGAAAGCCCAACTGGAGTGAGGACTGCAGTGGGCTGGCGCGAGCGGAGACCCGCAGGCACAGGCGCCGGTAGGGGTCCTCTCGCAGCCGTCCCCAGGCTGTGTGCTAGGGCCGTTCTTACCTCAGCTTCCCTGCGCGGGAGAAGAGCCGAATAATCAGGGACCTGTCTTGAGAACTAGAGGCAGAAGCTGGCCGGTCTGTGGTTGGTGGTACCGGCTACCTGTTCGCTCTTGCTGTGATCAACATCTGCCCCTGGCCACCG